GCGTAATGACTGATAAAATCAAACATTCTGTGTACTTGTGCCACAGACGTCCGACACGCATGAAAACTACCCAGTTTTCGTAAAAAGAAGGGGCGACTCAGATCGCAACTGAGTAGGATTTCTACAGAAGTCACATTAAGGAGACAATGACGCCTAACTTTCTGTCCTGAGAGCAGGAGTGCATTATTTCGTCAGTTGACAGCCTTCCGAATGAGGACCTTTATTGCCCCGTGGTAGATTGTTTGTAGGAACGAATATGCGCCGAGTGTCAGGGTGACGCAGTGTTTAGAATTATCCACACTTTCGTTTCTCTCTCCCAGGCAGCAGTCCACTGTTTGTGGCGGTCAGTCATCTGACGCGGGGGTTGGATGTATCTCGCTGACAGCTATAAAGCCCCCTATACGCGTACCACACGCCAACTGCCACTCAGAGAATGGACGTTGTACCCTTCCATTTGAGATGCCGGCTTTAAGGATGCTTCTGCATAGTTTCGCGCTTTGTGTGCTAAAACACTACAGAGTCTTTGGAAGAGTCTGCCTGCCGCGTCAATGGTTCAAAGAATAATTTTATATATGTAGGGTCACCATGCGGTGCATTTTTAATAAATTTAAGTAACCCCCGACGCTGATCAAATTAATGACCCCAATTTCCTTCCCCCTGCCCCCCACCCTGATAATCGTACCATTTCTATTGACCCGCATATTTCACTTAGTTACATGATATAAATGTAAAGGCCTGACGGGAAATAATCGACATAAAACGTATGCTTGCCGAATCATATTTTGGATAAAATGAGTGCCTAGAAGAAGGCCATCAAAAAAGATGCCAAAAGAAATCGGGCCTGTGATTTTTCGCTGGTTGCAAAAAGAACTTGTCAGTATCAGTCAGTTAGTTATATGCACAGCGAAACTCTAAATTTAACACTTGGAGTCATACTGAAATGATACGAAAGGCATGGGCATTAACCCCTATAATACCAAATCAAAACACTTCGATGAAAAAAAATTACAAAAAATGCTTTTTTTCTAATCACGAGCTTACTTATCATATGTTCTTGGTGTGGAAGGTTATATTTTTGGCGTCCAGGTTTTATATTCGGGTCGAATAAAAAATACGATCAAAACCGTTATCCGACGCCAAAATGGTTTTCCAGAGCATATCACGTGACCCAGTTTTTCTGGCTACCGAGGTAAACAGCAGTGTTCATTTATACTTAAGGACGTCTTTAGAGGTAATGATCCCTAAGGCAATTTTAACGTATTATTGTGTTTTCTTCTAAACTCAAGTTAGTTAACTTTTCATCGAGTGTCTGAGTCGACGCATTTAGACTGGTAGCAGAATAATTCGAGATTTTTGGTCTGCTTCACCAGTTCGGCGACCTATTTTACAAGCATCACTTTAAGTCCGAATCTAAATTTTTTCAGGGTATCCTACTTTTTCTGAGTATAGCTGCAAATGCGAAGTTGGCATATAGTAAGTGAAGAAAAATACGAGGAAATACTCCTTGCCCAAACTCTGTCAAATGCAGTAAGCTTATTAGGGTGTCTGTAAGAAACTAAAACAAAACGCGGCAGACAAGACCGTTTAATAAGTTTTAGAGTAGACTATAGGAGATAGGGAACTCGCAAAACTATAATAAAATGTCGGGGAAGGGGAGGGGGAAACAATACACCAATGAAAATGTTAATAAATTGCTTTAACTATGCGAGTCCCAACTTTATTACTGTTTGCCTGAATACATATTGACATTTCCGATCACTCGAAGTAACTGTAGCAAGACGGATTATATGGACTGATCAAAAATAACTTAAATCCCTTAAAGATCGAGGTGAGGTAAGCGTGAAAATGAAGAAACAGAAGGGCGATAGGGTGAACTAGATGCATCGAGGAATATTACATGCAAAGACAGTGGAGTTTGAATTTGCTTTTATCAGTCAGTCGTAGTCCAGACCCAATTGAATTGCTCTCTTTTGTCACTCCCGACATTGAAGGCGTGCCACTGCATGACAAGGGCTCAAAATCAGGACTTAATGGCCAAACTGAATATGAAGTCGAGTTCGACCTAAAAACGCCTCACAGGCATGTGCCCGATACTGATAAATGATAAACTTACGCGAGCTGCATCTTCGGCTAGTGACTGGAAGGCGTAAAAGGTGTGTAACGTCATGTTTCGACAGCCAACTGGGGGTGGAGCTTCAAGGACAGCAAGGAGACAGTCCAGGGTCCGCAGATCACCCGC